AAAAGGGTTTACTGTTGATGCTAATTTGTTTACAGTGTACGAGCGGATGGGCTTAATAACCGTACCGCCGCTGAACCGGACTGAAATTCGGCTGCAGTCTGCAATAGATACTAATTGGAAAACACAAATGTGGACAGGAAGACGGTAAGACCGTTTCATTATTTCTTTAGACTTCTGTTTAATACGTTACGGAATGATGACTGTACTATTTATAAGAAATCATTCACATTAAACCCTGTAAGTGTACCACTGCTTGGTTGGAAATTGCCCTCCCACCCCTTGCCCTACATCAGACTAAAATTTATATCTTTGTGGATTATTTCGTGATAAAGTCAGCATGTACAGATGCTATCCACAAAACCCGTTACACTGCATCACTCGTCGCCAAGTTCACCTAGGAAACGTGCGCCCTTGGATCATTAGAACCCGCTTTTGAGGCATTTGAAAAGAACCGCTGTAAATTTAAGAAGTAGCCTACAAAACGAAACCCATACAAAATCTTCTGGGTACCCCCGTTCCATAGCATGGGTGGTAGAAACGTGCTGAGTCACGAAATCTACCTCAATTTAAATTGATGATGTGCAATTTAATGGCGAATACCGGAATGTTTCTGTTCGTAAACAAACCTTTATCAATAGTCCAATGTTTACCACGCTTTTTAATGTTACGTAGTCTACTGATGTGATGTGTGTCTAGTGATGGACTTGCTCTTTGCAGCAGAGGCCCTTTCAGGCTGAGCATGTCCCTTTCGCAGGTTTGCCGAAATGTCCTGTGTGCTCGTGGGCGCAAGACTTCCGGGCAGGGGCGGAGCTACAACACGTGCACAGTCACTTAGCAAGATGCAAGTGGACTGCAGTACTAAGGCAAGTGTAGCATTACCTAAATCCCACTTATAGCACTTTGAACACTATAAGTTACAGTACTATAAAACCGCATCACCTAAAGAAAATGGGCATTCTGTGTTTTCCTAATCCAATCTGCTCTCAAAAGTTTTAAACTAATTAATTAATTAGATCGCTGGTGAGGAAGATACTTTCTATTATTTAAGTATGGTAAATAGAATATGTTGGCTGGTATCAACCATTTATTTTGCTAATTTTGCTAATAATCGTTTCGATTCTCAGAACTAAAATTAGAATTATCGAATTAAAATTATATTAATACATGAATTATAAACAATTAGGGATAAGTTAAAAAAATATTATTTACAAAATATAAACTTAACCTGCCAGATGCGAAATAAACTGAGTCTTACATACCTTGCAGCTTCCGGGCCGAAAACAAAGTTCTGTGGGTTTTTGAGTGTGTCTGGTTTAAGAACAGAGCTGGTCGGCAGCGGGTGGAGGCGTGACGAGGGGTGGGGTGCGGGCGATGGGTCGTAAGACGCGGGGGTGCCGGTGGAGGCGTGAGGAAGGGTCAAAGGTCAGTGGAGTTAGGGGGGGTTGGGGTGTACACTTCGTGCTAATTTTAGCACAGGTGATGAGAGTTCATGAATTTGTTCGTTAAGATAAGTAATGTTCTGTTTTTTGAGGATGCTGTGTATATGTAAGGATTCTAATTTTATTCTGTTCCAGAACCTGTTTACAATTTCTAGAATTCGGAAATGTATGTGTTTATCAAAGGTGTGTTTATTTAAATTTAAGTGATTCGCGAAGTGTGAGACTGTGGTAGTGTGGTTTTTCCATGCTTGTTCCATACTTACACTCGCATGCACTACACCACCACACACACCGCGAGACCAACCGGGAGCTTAGAGCTTGTCCCGGGTGGGGCGGTGTTCCGCTGGTGGGAGATACCTGGCTTGGGGAAAACGCCGCAAGCCGACGTGTAGGTTGGTGCCGGATCTCACCATGCAAAAAGAGTAGATCACCGCCATCTGCCGCCTATAACATGCACTACGCTCACGCAACGAATGACTAGAGTAGTTGGCGCTCCCGGAAACTCACCGGAAATATTAAGACTCTCGGAACAAATTATCCATTGAATAACCAACACAGGTTTACTATTTATTAAGTAAAGTTGTTCTTATTAAAGGAAATCACGAACTTTCAAACAGTTTAATAAATTAGTTTATAATAATTGCATTACGTCGGCTCTATTTCAGATCCTTCCGTTTATCTGCCCTGTAATACCGGGCCCCTGAATTAAATATGTCTTCAATTACTTTTTCTTGCCTCGTACTGATAAAAATACCTTCATGTATGAAAATGTTTGAATATTATTACCTGTTCTGATCGACCTTCCCTTATTGAATGCCTAGATCCGCCGCTAGATCCCCGATTCTCTGCTTCATCTAAAAGAGTCGAGTTTTCTTTGTCCCATGTGCTTTCCCACCGGATTTCCACCAAAGCATTAAACTTCCGTAAGTGACAGCTTCCTGAGGAAATCTCTAGCAAAAAGGACGCACGCACTTAGTCAGCTACGGTGTTTCCGCAAAGTGCGGCGTTCGTATGTGAATTTGTCGGCAGCAGGGAACTCAACGCAAGTGTGGTAAATATCTGTTAAAACAGACAGCTACACGGAAAGGGAAGCCGGAAGGAGGACAACGGAAGTTACACCACCGAGTAAATACAACGTTGCTAAAATATGGTCATTGAAAGTGTCTGGTACAAAACACTGATGACCTTTAAGAGAAAGCTACTGAGGTGGATGCATAGACCGGTAGGAATGTCGGACCTCCAAAATTCGGAAAACAAATTACTTGTACAATATTATATTTAAAAAAGGAATAAATAAAATAAAACTATTATTATTGATCTGATTTGGTTCAGTGCATAAAAGACGTCAAAATGGGAAAATCTTACTCATATACATTCATAACAAGGAAAAGAAGACCAAAAAGCAGGTGCTGATATATTTGACGGGAGGATATCAGAAAAATTGACATTGGAAATTCAATGCCTAAAGTTGGGAGTGGGAAATCTGTGAAAAGAATAAACAAACATTGAAATTGATGTACTGCCTGAAACTAAAAAGAGGAAGAAAAGTAAAAGCACCCACCCCCTTTTAGAATGAGTGTGCTTGTGTCCCGTGACGTCTTTCAGGAATTTCACTCACATGTTTCTTTTTCTTCATTTTCCTCATGACAAGGTTGTGGCTCTTCCGTCAATCCAGATCAATCCAAATCAAATTTACTACCGGCGCGGTACTGTATTCCCCGGTACTGGTCTCTGCATTACTCTCTCAGAGGAGAATCTATGGGAGCAATGCGTTGGCGACATGTTTACGACAGTCACAAGCCTGACCTGCATTCCTAGCTTGTACATGGATAGATTCCCAACCATTAACTTGCCCATACGCGAACAAGCCCGGCTTTCAGGTCTTGCTCCCATAGGTTTTAAACCTATTTATACAAAAGAGTTCCCACGAAAGAACAGGAATGGTAGAAGGCACCCTGCGTCGAGGACAGTTATTCAACCAGCGCAAGCCCGGCTTGCAAGCCTCGCTTGAGAGTAGATGGGGCCCTTAAAGACTCTGTGCGCTGGTAGAGTAAATGAGCGACGGCAATGCAAACCCACGGGCGGATCCAGAGATAAATTTTGGGAGGGGAAATTAAAAATTTTTTTGTCGAATGTGTCGTATTACAGATTTTATAAAATGTTGCAGGCTACACTGAGCTCATGCTGGGATACGATTTTATTCGTTTTAATGATTCACTGAAAAAAATTGTGTTGCAAGTTTCGGGAAAAGTTAAAATTAATAGTTACAGAAAGCTTTTAAGGGGGGGGGGAGATTTTAGTCATTTTCTTCCCCGTGGATCCGCGCCTGGTGAACCTCATTTGGAATGTTAGACCTTAGCATCCTCTGATCTATCATCTTATCTCGTGATTTCAAGCTCTTCGTGTTAGAATAATGTTAATAAGTAAATAACATTTATAATACATTTTAGATGACGTCATCTTTGTGTTTCAAGAATATCCCGAGCAAGCTTTTTCTACCCGAATTTTTTGTGACTCGGCTGATTTTTCCCCTTGATTTATATTGAGGGTGCTGCAACCTTCCTTTACTAATATTAATGTCTTTAGGCCAATACAGAGCAAATTAAAGACGTAGATGAAGTTTGTGGATGAAGACCGAGGTGAGGACCGAGCTCGACCATGTGTCTTTCAATTTTTTTCGTATTACAACCTTCTAATAATGAAAATTCTTATAAATAAGAAATATTTCTTCGAATTGTGGTGAGTTTTCGTTGGAATGGACAATGGAATAATTATGAGTCGACATTACCAACAATATTGTTTATTATAATAGCAGCTTTCGATGGCTTAGTAATGGCAGTCGTTTGGTGGCTTTCATAAAGCAGAAAACTGATAAGCAATCGAAAGCTCTTAGTGTAATAAACAATATTATTGGCTACATCGACTCATATAATTATTTATTGGATTAAGTGTACTCATACGCTATTTTTAGCTACGACTCTTTTGATTCGATTGTTGTTAACGGCCAGCAGATAGAAATCCTTAACGGACGGCGGCTTTTAAGAGTGGGTTTTTGTTTCTCTGTTTGGTTGGGTTAAGACGATTAAACAGAACAGTATTACGAAAAATATTGAACACCACCTGCACTCTCCGTCATCTTTCTATTCTTTTTCTTCTTTCTGAAAGTAACGAAAGTAACTAAACTGAAGATGGATGAACATCACTATTGGGGGTAGATATTGCGAAATCGTGCGAAGTTCACGGACGGCGGCTTTTAAGGGTGGGTTTTTGTTTTTCTGTTCGGTTGGGTTAAGTCGATTAAATAAAACGGGCGTGTGACTCGCGTGAGCCGCGGTGGCCTGGGTTGTTAGGTCGGACCGGGGCCGGGCCCTTCCTCGCCCGCGAGCGCGTGTGCGGTCGGCGCTCCCTGCCCGGCCGGCCGTCGCGGCGCCCAAGGACGCGCGTGCTCTTATCTGGCGCCGCGCCACCCGGCGGAGGACGGGCGGGCGAACGGACGCGCGCGCGCACCGCTGACGTGCGACGCGGATCCCTCTTTCCGCCGCACCGGCAGGAAGCGTCGAGGCGGCGTCGCGCTATTTGCGTGTTGTGGATTTCCCTTCGCTGGAGGAGGAGGAGAAGTAGCCTACGTACTGGAGCACGAAGGGGAAGAACGGACGTGATTGACATCACACCCCTGCGTCTCTCAACATTCCTCTCCTTTAACGT